ATATATATATATATATATATATATATATATATATATATATATATATATATATATATATATATATGAAGAGATAGAAGACAAAGTATACGTATTTGAAAAATGCAAAAAAAAAGTACACACATAGAGAGGGACTAACACTTGTAAGCAAACCATATACCGCATGGGAGTGCTCTTGTGCTCGCGTGGAATCCACCGGGTGATGTAACATAAGTAAATATGGATTGTAAATACTGTACCAGATAAAGTTAGTGAGTTCAGAGAGCGTACTGCGTCGCACGTCATCGAGTATATAATATCCTGATTTTTCTTCATTTTTTCATGTTTAATTTTTCTTCAGATTAATGAAATATAAAAATCCGGTCGCGCGGCTTACTCTCCGCTCATGAAAAAAGGACGAGAACAGAGAAAAATAATTGGAGAAATTTAAAGGAAGGATAGAAATGAAACCCGTGCGAATCTCGCCTTGACGTGGCAGTGTATCGATTTATGCGAACGATTAAACAAAAAATGATGAAGATAGCTAATCTTATTTTTTGATTATGTTTCTTTAATTTGGTAATGATCAGAATTTTCCTCGCAATTCTTCACGCTTTTGTTGGTTTTTCCATTCAATATTTGTAGTGAAAATTTAGAAAGAAACATTTCAATCGGCACCTACAAGGCGATAAAATACATGGTATGAAAATGAATTACTATTATTATCTATCATCTTTAAATTTACTGTGATTATTGAAAATTGTAGTTGTGATTGTTATTATTCAATTATTATTGCTTGACTCTCGTCAACATCTTGAGAGTCAATTTGTCTTCTTTGTCTAATAACTAAATCTATAATATGCAGAAAAAATTGCGAGAATACCGGACTTGCGAGGGAATTACCGATCGTTCGTTCATTCGTTATTATTGCATACTTTTTTGGTTCTTGTTATTGTAATGAAACGTGAGTGTACAGTGAGAAAGTAAAAGAATTATGTGGCGTTGTGATTGATTAGGGACTGAGGTTATAGGAAAATGAAATGACTAAAAAAAATAATCGTTAAAAATCAACACCGACAATTGTAAATTGACTAGCCAATAGGACCCGCACCTATTCTCGGTTGTAAATAAAAAATTACCTGACAAAAAAATGAACGAAAAGCGTACATAGATGAAATTTAAGTGCTGGAAAACGTAAGCAAGAAAATGGATTTGACATTGCGGATTTTTCATTCGGCTTAATTTTTCGTCAACTATCAATGGTGCCAATAAATATTCGATTGTCAACTGATAAAGTGGAATGCGAAAAATTACGTTATTTCTTGCAAAGAAAAATGCAACCACGAAATATCTGCAATGGTAAAGACATGCGAAGAAAGAAATTGAATGATAATACACGAGGGTTTTTGTTTTATCCAAGCCAAACGAAATTAAAAAAATAAAATTGGGCTGAATATGAGAGAGTGAGAGGGAATGCAAATCGGTGTATGATATAAGACCATGCAAAAAATGACAAAAATACATAAAAGGGTCATTTGCAAGAAATGGAAAAAAATAACTGAAATGATAAAAAAACTCCAATCCCCTCTGTATATTATTACATTAAATATTAATTATTATTAACGTAAAATAAAAATGATGAGAAAAAATGAAAAAATATGAAAATGAATAAAAAAAATTTGGCGAGTGGTAACGTTTTGTTAGAATGGCAGAAACTAAATTACTACTGAATTTTAATTAATAAACGAGATGAAAGTATACAATAACGGTTTGGCGTTGAACTTTATTTAAACATTACACATCAAACAATCCTTGAACCGGAGACTGATACTCAGAATGATAATTTGAAGGCGTAAAAATGGAAATCCCATTCGTTATCTAGTAACATTATTCTCCATTTTCACTTGACTTGTCATGACTTTGGGATCCATTGTTATGAGGGAATGATCAAACCAAAGAGCTGCAGAGATAAAATTTGAAATAATTTCGACGGTATAATTCATTGCCTGCTGAAAGCAATTCTCTTAGCTGTTCTCGGCATTTAGCATTAAGGTTCGAATTAGTAAGTAAATGTATAGCGTTAACACTTCATTAATATTAGAATATTACTCCTTCCCTTAAATATAAAATTAAAATTCAATTATCAAGAAATAATCATTTTCACTTTATTCCAAGGCAGTAAATTCAATGAGTAACTAAATATTCACATTCATCTGAAAGCCTGAAGAACTCAGAAAATCCAGAACGTCAATGGATTCTCAAGACTACTTTTCGTTACTAGACGCGCTAAACCCGGATTTTAACCTCGCTTCGCTCGCACAGAGAGAAATGTTCTGTAAAAATGACGGAACTCACAATTCATTCACTGATTATGAAATCGACTCAGAAAATTTAAGTGACGATATCGTAATTTTTCACAGAAGATTCAGATAAAAATTACGGAACGCTCTGGAAAAATTTCCTACAATCACGTTTCGCTCCGGAATTACGGAAAAGATACGTAATGTTTATTGAATATTTCTCTCCATGCGGTTAAATCGCAGTTTTTGGGCCCGATGACAAGAAATATTGTTCGATACACGGCCGTGAAGAACTTTCCTACCTCATATGATTATAGAACGACCCAAAGGCGAGATATTCGCCAGAAAAGTTCTTCACGGCCTACTTAGTATCGAAATCTACTAATTCTTCATTCAAGAACAATTCCATTTGCTTGCAAATTGATAAAATGAAAAGCTTATAAATAATGGCACTAAAGTGATAGGGAAGTTTCATCCTGGATGGTGAAAAAACAAGTCCTCTTGCGACTCAATAATTCTCGATATACTGCTGACGTAAAATTTATTTTTATACTATCGCAGGAGCAATACTTCACTAGAATAAACCAGCTCCTACACTACAAAAGTCAAATTTCTGTAAACTAGTATTTCTGAATAAGTAGTATTTTCCAATACTAGTTTTTATTTTTCCAATACTAGTTTTATTCTTTTAATGTTATCAAGATTTAGAGCAATATAATTTCTTCCATTTGTACCAAATTATTTGTTTCTCGCTGTGCAATACAATTTGGATTCGCGTGCTCCAAAATCATTGATCCTCCATCATGTTATCTTACGCTAAACGATAATCATTACGCAGTGCATTGATACACGGAACCTATATAAAATTATTTTCTGCCCCCTTAATTTCCCTCCCCCTTTTGTCTACCAAAACGGGCACTCGTTTTTTCAATCTCTGAAGTAAAAAAAAGATTTTTAATCTTTATTATTATTCTTGAAAATGATTCTTTATAATTTTGCTTCACGTACGTCCATTCTGAAAAAGAAGGAGGGGGGAAGTTGAATTTTTGAGAATTTAAGAATCAATTTTTTGCGTAGTCGGCTCAGGGAGGGAATTCCAAGAATTGAATACTATCAACGTTCTCATCGTCCGCTGGAGTACTTACTAGTCAACATAGAAAGTTCTGCTGTGATAAAAATTCATAAGATTTGAGTAGCTTCTCCTCATTCAATTTTGAAAATTCTCGAAAAAATGAAACAATTTTAACATTCTTGAAAATAATGTTATCGGTGGTGAATTTTAGACCGTTTTGTGCATTGGAAATTACTATATTAAATCGTAGAAACTAATTTCACATCGCAAACATTCAATTGAAAGGAATCAAATTTCAAAGCTTTTCCAGTATGAACTCTTGGATTACCATGTTTACATAGTAATTTGTTATTTTATTTTTAATTTTCTATTCTCTTCGTGTACGCTCATATTATCACGTGAATCCTCTCAAACTCTGGTTTAGGTGTTTAATTCTCGAGAAATGAAATAAACACTCTCCTTGCATTGAACCAAGTAAATAAAAAAAAATTGCATATCGTCATTTCTGTTGCGTGTCAGATTGAGATAAGTCACGTTTCGAGAACGAAAAATCGGCAATTCAGTGGGGAGATTGAAGTGGTGTTTACATGTGGAAGCCACACAGTGGCTTCTATAATTTGCATGTTACACTGTAATTTAATTTAACCAAATCGAGAGGTTTGGCTCAAGTGAATCTGTGAATTACAATGTATACCGCGTCTCATTGGCCGTCATGCATAATAATCATTACTTACAACATATATATTAACATTATAATTCACATTAAAAAAGATCTCTTCCTCAAAGTGTTACTACGTTATTTTGATACGGAGGTAAGATTTGCTCATAACCTTGCGATGAAATCTCCGAGCACAGGATACAACTGTAAAAATCACACGTTTTCCTCTCATATATGTAAGACAATGATCATCCCTGACTCTGACGCTACTGAGTATAGGTCTTGCTTTGTCTGTTTCTTCTTTCGACCCTTATTTTTCATGAGAGAATCCTCATGAACATAAAACATAACAAATTATTCTCTTTAATATCATCTGTTCAACCATTATTTAATCGTGAATTTCATTCATCGTGTCAATCTTTTTTTATTGTTTAATATTACAGTATTACAGGCTAGAGTGTTTGTTTTGATTACAATCAATGTATT